TTAAGTGAAATAAAATTATTTAGTGCCTTTTATGTATGAGGTATTGATCTAGCTCATGACAAATTAATAATATTGTTCGTTACATTAAAGTGCTGTTGATAAATGAGGCTGAGGTGTTTTAAATTCAGGAAACCAGGCTGGGGGACAGCTTGGCAGTCTAAGCGCCTGACTGGCAAATGCAAGGAGCAGAGTTCAATCCCTGGTACCACAGGTTGTGCTGGCCCCAGTGCCCTGGGTGCACCGTGCTGGCCACTGAAGCTGGGCGTGGTGGCACACGCCTGTAATCTCAGTACTGGGGAGGCTGAGACAGGAGGATCACTACAAGTCTGAGCTGTGTAGTGAGACCCTTTACCAAATAAACATATAAAAATAAAAAATAATAAAAAATTAAATTTAGGAAGAGATTTTTTTACATTTAAATGTTAACTGCTGCCACATTTTCAATATATGGATAAATCTCCATTCACGTATGTATTGCCTTATAACTCTACAGTGACAAAGTCTACATCTTTTGGTATTATAAATAATGGTGATAAAATGATTGACTTTCATTTTCTAAAATGCAGAATTTCTCATTAGATTTTAGAGGTATAATTGTTGAGCTGCTGTATAAACATAGCCTATTAAATTATATTGTCAAAAGAATTATGTTTTTGCACAATTATAACATTCTTGAGAGCTGTTAGCATTAGAAATTATCTTTTAAAAAACACTCGATTTTACAAATTGAAAGTGGTTCCTAATTTAGCTTAAATGTAACAAACTGCCATTGTTGTACCTGATTTTGTTATTTTTTTGGCTATAGGTAAAATGTTTTTGAAAACCAATATGGAATAGCCTATCTGTAGTCAGCCCATCTAGTGCAATCAAGATATATTTTAGAAAGTCAGTTTTGTCTGTAGTTATCTGATAAGCGAGCAGGAATCACAGAGTCTTGGCATTGGAAGGGATGCTGGCAGCCTTCAAATCCAAACTTGCACTGCGGCAGGAATCCTTTCTGGAGCATCCATGGCCTGTGCAGTGTCCCAGTGATGATTCATTTACTGTTGGACAGATTTCCAGAAAAATAATGCTTTCCCAGTAGCTAAGATAATAAACATGAAAATGTTTTGATAAAGTTAAAAAGGGTATAATAAATCCAAGATTTTTCTAATTTGTACACCAGATTAACTGGATTTCAATAATTGTAAAAATAGTATTCTGTCAGTAATAATATAATCTCATATTTACAGTATTTTATTATTTAAAGATACTTTTTTATTCCTCAATCACTTAGTGATTTTAATACTATTTTTATTTTTCTGGTATATTCTGCTCTTTGAAATACTAAACTTTCAGCATTACTGTTGCCATAATTCTTTTATTCTAGAATTTTAAAAATAAAAAATGAATTTATATATCAATTAAGAATCTGGCAGGTACAGGGGCCAGGGGTTCAATCCCCAGGCCTGCCATGCGGGCCCCACAGAGACAGCAATTGAGACTGGGCATGGTGGCGCATGCCTGTAATCCCAGCTCTTGGGAGGCTGTAAACAGGCGGATCACTATGAGTCCAATTTAGTAATGAGACCCTGAACACCCTGTAGACCCTACCTTAAAATACAAAAAAAAATCTGTAATTCAAGTAATTTTTTAAAGGCATATAATATGTGCTCCATAAGTCTAGCTAAATTCTCAATTGTGTTCATAGGGAAAAAAATAATAGAAGCATCAACAGACTCCTGTTGCAAGAATAATTTAGTTCAAAATAAAGTTTCTTTTTCATGAAAATAACACTAATACAGAAACTCATAAAAATAACTCTGCTTCATTTGTAATCTCTAGACATATATGACAGAACTAATGAAGTTGATGAAAAAGCAGAAATCATATCTTTGAAACAAAAACAACACAGCTTTTCATAAATTAAAACATGTAGTCCCAGTCAAAATTAAGTGTCATGCAAATATCTTTATAAAATTATTGAGCAAGAGATGGAATTAGTGGAAGTTAAAGAAGTCAAAGGAAAATAGTGATAATCCGCATATAGGTATCTCTTCATTATTGTTTGAATTACTGTAGTTCTTAAAAAATCTTGGAAAATTCTGCAACTATGCCCTTGACTCAATCATAGCTCAACTGATGATGAACTTAAGGTCACATTTAAAAGATCAAATATTTCATATTTATCTACTAATGTACAATAAAATACTAATGTATGTTCAGCATGTTTTAGAATAACTTTATTGATGTATAATCACAAAGAATACAATTAACCTACTTAAAGCATACAATTCATTGATTTTCAGTAGATTTACAGAGTTAAGTTCTCATCACAATCAATTTGAAAACACTTTCAACACTGTCAAATAAAAACCCTTATCTTTTTAAAAAAAAAAAAAAACCCTTATCTATTAACAGTGTTCCCTATCAACAACATTCGCCCAGCCCCAGGCAAATCCTAGTTTCCATCTATACGGTTTGCCTATTGTAAACAGTTTATGTAAGTGGCATTATACATTATGATGTCTTTTATCATGGGATTTTTAGGATAATGCTTTCAAGGATTATCCATAATCCCCATTGTGTGAATATACCATATTTTCTCTTTTGGTGAACATTTGAGTTGTTTTCCCTCTTTGGCTGTAATGAATTACTGTATGCATTTTTTTTCTTGTAATTAGGATAGGGTCTACTGGGTCTACAGAGTCTTACTATGCAGATCAGACTTGTAGTGATCCACCTGTGTTTAGCCTCCTAAATGCTGGGATTATAGGCATGCAACCACTCCCACTCTCCCCCTCTCAGTGCGCCCCAGGAGTGGGGCTGGCACGGCAGGCTGGGGATCAAATCCCAGGCACTGTGCTCTGCCTAAGCAGGTGCTTTAATCTGCTGAGCTATCTGGCCAGCCATTTTTCTCTTTCTTTTTTTTTTTTTTTTTTTTTTTGGCTGGCTCAGGCTCCCCTTAAGGGTGGATCTGGTGCAGTATGTGGAGCTGGGGATCAAACTGCAGTCCCCTGCGCCTGAGTTTGCCCAAGCAGGCGCTTTAAACAACTGAACTAAGAGCCAGGGAGATAGTTCAGTAGAATAAGTACTTGCCTGGCAAGTGTAAGGTCCTGAGTTCAGTCCTCGGTACCACCAAAAAAACAAAAACAAAAACCTGAGCTAACTCACAAGCCCCCTACTTTACACATTTTTATGTGGATGCATTCTTCCACCTCTGTATAGGAGTAGAAGTGCTGGGTCAGACATAGTTAACCATTTGAGGAACTTACGGTTTTCCAAAATTGCAGCACCATTTCCCATTTCCATCAGCAACACAGGAAGATTTCAATTCCTGTACTTCTTTGGCAATACCCACTATTATCTGTCTTTTTTATTCTGTTCTAGTAATTTATTTTACCATTCTGTGGACTGAACCCAGGGATGCTCTACTACTAAGCTACCTGTACAGCCCTTTTAAAAATGTTTTTAAATTTTGAGACATGGTCTTGCTAAGTTGACTAGGTCAAACTTAAACTTGCAGTCTTTCTGCCTCAGCTTCCCTAAGTACTGGGATTACAGACATGAGCACTCATTTTTTTTTAATTTTTAAAATATATTTAATACAGGGCCTACAGGGTCTCACTACACAGATCAGACTCATAATGATTCTCCTGTTTTCAGCTTCCCAAGCTCAGGAATTATAGGCGCGTGCCACCACGCCCAATCTCAGTCACCATCTCAGCACCTCAGCACGCCCCATGGGCAGGGCCAACACAGTGCATCGGGATTGGGGGATTGAACCCCAGTCCCTGCATCTGCCTAAGCAGGTGCTTTAGTCTCCTGAGTTATCTGGCTGGCCCAAGAACTTATTTTCAAAAATGGTAATCATTGAGGGAGGAGGATCCTAAGTTCAAGCCTAAGAACTCAGTGCTTAATAAGGTCTTGTCTCAAAAATTATAAAAAAATAAAAGGGCTTACTCCCAAAACAGTTCTAGCCAAGTTCATCTGAATGTGAAAGAGTGCCTGTGATAAGACATTCAGTTAATATGTACACCATTCTGGTGACTGAAGCAAATGCTCCTTAGCCTAGCTTCCATAATAGCTTAGCCCTATATAAAGGAAATATTTATTTTTTCATTAATAATTATAATTGTAATAATATTTAAATTATAAACTTTTTGCTAATGCTAGGAAACATGGTATAATACATAAAAATTTAGTATTTGTCTAGTAATATAGGTCATGGTACCTGATATCGTTAGTTAACTTAGGAGGGAACATATTTCCAAATAGTCCTGATATAGAATAACTTATAGGAAGTTGCTTTATGTTCCTCTACATTACATTCTAAAGTCACATAAAGAATTACTTGGCTATATGTAATGTATGTATTCTTCCTTAAAGAAATATCTATAGAGGTACTGTAGTTACAAAAATGTATTCGATATTTATATTCACTAATTTCACCACTGACATTCATTAATGAATGAAATTTAAGTTTGGTTCTACATATAGGAAAAAAATACCATTAAGTAAAAGCTGTGTGACTTCTGTAAATGTAAGTGTGATAATTCCATCTTTAAGATGGACACACACAATATATGTGCATATATCCCCAATTAAGGTTATAGTTACAAAAACTCTTTAAATGACAAAAAAGTCTCATCATGAATAAAAACTCAATAAATTTTACAGACGCTCAAATAAACTCTTATTCTCATTGTATCTCTATATTTAGAGTACTGTAACATTTGTAAAAACTACACCATCACTGTGAATTAATGATCATAGAATAATTGAAATCACCAAGTACTCAGCAGCAGGATCATGTGACTGAATAAGTAGCAGCTTTCTAAAAGGGTAAGACACAAATTATATGTTTTTCCCTTGTCATTTTACAGAGGTGGAAAATGAATACAACATGGAATAATTTGCCTAAGATCACCAAGTTTATGGTAAAGTGGGAAATATAAACAGCTGATTCATGATTGAAGACTGACCAGTGAGATAGCTCAGTAGAAAAAGTACCTGCCTGGCAAGCACTGAGTTCAGTCCCCAGTACTGCCACGATTGAAGCCTATTCCAATAATGCCATGATATTTCAATCAAAATTTAATGGTTTGAAATTTTGCTTAAACTTTAAATATAAACAGATCAGCATGATATAGGCTAAAAGTGTGAAACATTTTATAGATACTTTTTAACAGCCAGCCTGCCAGAAACCAATATAATAGTAATGTTATTATTAGAAAAAGTCATGAATATATCATTAAAAGCAAGCGTAATGATGTCAACCTTCAAGTTTTTCTATATATTTAAAAATCACAAGCACTTCAGTTAGATATTTCAGGATCACAGGGAAAATTCCATTCATGCAGAGGAGTAAACTGTAAGAACCAAAATTTAGCAGCTCTTATCTATTTCATTCCCTGAATAATACAATGAACATTTACTTCACAGGATGAATATTGTACATGAATAAAAGAAGGAAAAAATTGAAATCCATGCAGTTCTGAAATCACTGATTGAGTTTGGGAAGATGATTTGATCTTGCAATCTTTCTCACTGTTCCTCTCTTAGCATTCACAGTCTTCTGATTAACTCGATTGTATCTTCCCCTGAAATAAGGTAAGCACCGATCATGATTTTTCAATCACCATCATGTATAAAATGAACATTATGTGCTATATTTAGAGAACTCTATATTGCACTAAGTTCTTCAGTCCAGTCTTTCACGTGGAAATCTTCCTGTGTATATCCCCTTCTGCTCACATGCATTCTTAGGCAGCTTTCCTGTGCTGGGGCAAAATACCTGACACAACCTAAACCAGGAGAGGTTTATTTTGGCTCACAGCTTCGAGTCCATACTTACTGGCTCCATGGCAGAAATATCATGGAGGAAGTACCTGGTGGAGGAAAGCTGCTCAACTCGTGGCCTCTCCAAAGCAGGAGGCAAGGGAGAAGCCCAGAAGAGGGGTCCAGGGACCGGATAGATTACACAAGGTCACACCCCTATGGCCCACCCAGATATAGCTATAGGGGCAACCAACTCAGGCGCAGTCACTCGAAAGGCTGGGAAACAGACTATCAGATGCCCTAATGTGAAAAGCTGTGTCTGAAAGGAGAAAGAGAGGGAGGAAGGGAAGGAAGGGAGGGAGGGAAGGAGCAAGGGAGGGAAGAATGATAATAAGGTAAAGCAATCCATAATTTCATATTCTGAAATTTTCATGGGACTATCTTTCCCATATTGCCTTATGTGGCTTTATAAATCTCAGCTTTTTTGTATTTGTACCCAAGATAATAAGAAGCTATATTGATTCCCCAAAATATGCTTTAAAATATTTTAGGAGAATGATGTGTGTAAAAATGACAGAATAAGAACCTACTGTTTTACTGGTCATGAAGGAAAAAGTGCTGTCCTCCATAAACTGACAAAACTGACCAATCCATTTTTTACAGCTCTGAAAATTTACTAAATTCTTGGAGCAATCCCATAAAATGTATTAAAAAAGAAATTTACTAAAGTCTTAGGGCAAGCCTATAGAATTTATTAAAAAACAAAACTTAGTGGAAACTAGTAATAGCAGTAATGTTTTAAAATTTTATTTTATTTTATCTTGAAGAATAAAAATGAACAAAAATCAGAAACAAAGACAGAAAGCAGTAACATAAAACAATATATATGTTACAGATTTTCAAAACAAGAATAACTGATTATCAATGGTTGATACATTATCTAGTTTTATCATCAAATCTGTTGTTCAGATTAATAGATATATAAAATTGGACATATGATTGACTATTACTACTAGCTTTCAAAAAACCTTAATTTTTGTTCTTGTCTCTTTTGTTCCTTCTCTTACCTTTTTTAAAAATTTATTTTGAAGAGAGTATAGTAATAATTGCTATGACATTAGAAATGGTACACAATTAGAAGATCAAGATGACAGGCATCCAAGCATGGCTTTTGTATTGCACATGGATGTCCTTGATGTAGTTACTTAGATGCAGATATCAGCATACAGAGTTAATCCAGGTGAAAATTCTACACATTAACTATTTTCATAAAACTGATGGAAATTCTCAGTACAATCTCCCAGCCATCCTGTATATATACTTGCAGATTTTTTCTCCCCATCTTTTTTTCTGATCTTTTTTCTTTTCTCTCCTCTTTGTTGAGATACCATCTCACCCCACAAAGAATGGCTACAATACAGAAATCAATTTCTCTACTGCTGGTGGGAATGTAGACTGGTACAACCACTATGGAAATCAATGTGGAGACTCCTCAAAAAATTAGGACTGGAAATATTATGCAATCTAGCTATTCCCCTTATGGGTATTTTCCCAAAATAACTGAAAGCTTCATACCATAGTGATATATGCGTGCCCATGTTTATAGCAGCACAATTTGTGATAGCCAAATCTTGGAAACAATCAAATGCCCGTCACCTGAGGAATGGATGAAAGAGATGTGGTGTTTTTATGCTATCGAGTATTACTCAGCTATAAAGAAAGACAAACTCAAAGCCTTCACAGGTAAGTGGATGCAACTAGAGGCTATACTCATTAATGAAATAAGCCAGACCCACATGTGTAAATATCATATTGTCTCCGTAGTATAAAAACCCGAAAGGCAAAATAAAACTTAAAAAATGTAACAGATACAGTCAAATGAAAAGAAATAGAACTATGTGGCATTTTTAACTTGCTATATTCCTACCCACTGCTCCTTTTCACTTTCTTCCAGAGCTCCACAATAGCCTTGAAAACAGCCCAAAACTATGCCACCTGACAGATACCTATAATAAACAGAATGGGATTGAAATTCCTTTGAAGCCTCATACATTCCCAGAAAGTTTTCATCATTAAAGCAGAATAGTGATTACCTAAAAGACCCACTTACAAAACTAATGACCCAAAGTGATGCGTTTGGGCTGGCCAAATAGCTCAGCAGATTAAACAGATTAACCTTAACCACAGGGGCTTGGGGTTCAATATGTAGGCCTGCTGTGCCAGCCCTGCCCCCCAGGGCGTGCTGAGATGGCAATTGAGACTGGGTGTGGTGGTGCACGCCTGCAATCCCAGCTCTTGGGAGGCTGTAAACAGGTGGATCACTATGAGTAGGATCTAGTAGTGAGACCCTGAACACTCTGTAGACCCTTCCCTAAAAGTACAAAAAAAAAAAAAAAAAAAAAAAAAAAAAAAAAAAAGAAAAGAAAAGAAAAGAAAAGAAGAAAAAAAAACCCAACAAAACAAAGTGTTAAGTTTCTCCTCTCAGGCCATTTGATACAACAATTAAAAGCTATGGTTTAACTTCTGAGCTATCTGAGCTCATAAATAATAGTAGAGACCAAAGAGGGGAAAATAGGAAGCTTAAAAGAGAAAAGCTAGAAAATAAGCACTAATAGAGTCCAACACACACATAACTTTCTGCATAGAGCTGAGTGCCTCCTTGGGAAAGATTTAGGAAGGCCCTAAATTCTTGGCTCTAGCTAACCTAGAGGTACTGCAGAAGCCAGAAATGAAAATTAAAGTAGAATTGTAATTTGCCTGTTGAAGGTATGCCCAAATATATAACTGAGTTCCTAAGAAAATCTGGGAAGGTTTAGTGATTTCATGTATTTAACAATCTCTGTTCAGTCATTAGCTGGCTACCTAGCTAACTCACTAGAGACTTTAGTGACCTCATTTGGCAAAGAATTCAGACTTTACAGAATGATTTCATGAAAGTTACTGATAGTGACACATACTTATAATCCCAGAACTCTGGGAGGTTGGGCAGGAGGGCATACATTCAAGCTCAGTCTAGGTCACTAAATTACCAGTGAGACCCTGACTCAAAATGAAAGTAGAAAGAGGGTTGGGGTTGTAGTTTAGTGCAAGCACTTGGGGCTCACTTGCAAACAACGCAAAACACAAACAAGACCCCGCAAAATACCAGATAAAAGTACTGCATTCATTTTATCCAGCCCTGAAAATGAAACAAATGATAGGAGAGTGGCTACATGATATTATTTAAACCATGTTCAGTTTTTAACAACAGAAAATATTACAAGTCATGTAAAGAGTCAAGAAAGTATGGCTCGTCATGAGAAAAAAGGCAAGCAATAGGAAGTTCAGATGTTAGACGTTAGACCAAGACTTTAAATTTATTATTTAAAATACATTCAAAAAAACTAAGACCATATCTAAAGAACTGGAGGAAAATATGAGAATATTTTGCCACATAAATAATATCAATATTGAGAGATATAAATTACTTTTTTTCCCCTGTATTTTAGGGAAGGGTCTACAGGGTGGTCAGGGTCTCACTACTAGATCAGACTCGTTGTGATTCTCCTGTTTACAGCCTCGCAAGAGCTGGGATTACAAGTGCATGCCACCAAGCCCAGTCTCATTTGCAGTCTCAGTGCACCCCAGGGGGGAGGCTGGCAGGGCAGGCCAGGGATCGAACCCCTGGCTCCTGTGCCTGCTTGCAGGGCTTTAATCTGCTGAGCTATTTGGCTGGCCCTATAAATTACTCTTAAAAAGAACCAAATAGACATTCTGGATTGAAAACTAAAATAAGCGATTGAAGCTTTCAGTAAAAGATATTTAGCACCAGATGAGAGCAGGCAGAAGAATCAGTAAAGTTGAAACTAAAATTATTCCATTTGAGCAACAGACAACAAAGAATATAGAAAATGAGTAGCTTCAGAGACCTATGCAATATATATATATATATATATATATATATATATATATATTCATTTTTGTATCAACCATTCTACTTGGGTTTCATCATCTTTATTTTATATGTATATATATAAACAAGAATGTGGATTTGGAATCCTAATACATTGCTTGCTGGAATACAAATTGTAGAGCCACTTTGCCACTTTAGAGAACAGTTTGGCAATCCCTCAAAAAGATAAACAGAATGGTATTGACTGGGAAGTTGTATGTGCAGACATATACCCAAAACATAAACACGTTTCTGCAGGAATATCCATAGCAGCATATTTATAATACTGAAAAGGTATAGAAAAGCCAAGTGTCCACCAACTGATGACTGGAAAAACTGTGCTATATTAAAAACTGGAGTGTACTTCAGTCTCTCACACACACACACACACACACACACACACACACAAATGAATTGTTTTAGTTATATGTAAATATATGTGTGAACATACTGGGTTATAGTATGAGATCAGTCACTGTCACTAAAGTTTGGAAACCATTTTAGACTGAGTATTGTGGTTTTTAATTAAATGAGAGCAGCTAAATTCCTTGTAATGTTATATAAAAGTATTATAGATTTTCCACTTACAGTTTAAATTGTCATGTGCATTTTTAATATTTTGCTACTTTGCCAATTACTTATACCCAATAAAGGTATATGATACATTGAACAGTAATGATTATAGCTAAAGTTCATTGAACTAGAGGTTTTTCAAAAACTTGGAATTTTCCTATCAACAATTGTACTTGGTTTTCATCATCTTTATTTTACAGGTAAGTAGAATGAGTTTGAGACTATATCCTCTGAAGGCACATTAAATAATACCTGGTAGAGGCAAAATTTATTTGTATAGCTGCTCCAAAATTAGTCCAAATCTTTATTTTCTACCTTCTCATCACTTTTAAAAATACTCTTATTAGTTATAAGCATTTACACTGTTACTTTGACTTGGAGCCTCCATAAGATACCTACAGGATGGATTTGTTTTACTTTTCTCTTAATATAATTAAATCTGATTTTATTTTATTTTTTCAGTCAGTATTTGCTTATCATTCAGGTAAATAAATCATTTCAAATTATACATATTCCTATAGAAAATACTAAAATGTATAAATCAAAACCATCTATAATCCCAAACTATTTTGTACTTTTTACTATATGACTAAATATTTTTCTATCTGTTTATATATGCTTCTAGAATCTAATTTTTCAGTTCTAGAATATTATAAGCTATTGAATTCTCCCCTTATTGTTGGTCATGTTGGTTGTGTTTGTTTTACTCTGCTTTTTTAAAATCAAAACCAGGTTTGTCTAACAATCTCTCTTAATGAGTCCTAAAATTAATTTTCCACAGATACTTTTATTCCAGGCTACTAAAGACTGTATTTTTCCCCTCTAGCTACTAAATAATATACTTAGTGCTTTCCCAATTCAACAGCCAGAAGCACTTGGTCCAGCTGCTCCCGATCCGTCAGACTCACCCAACCCAACCATTGGCTTGGTTTCTGCTGAATCGGGACCAATCATTCACAGTAAGAGAATGGTGAATCTCTTCACACAAATATGGCCGGAGAGCATTTTGCAGAGAAAAGGGGATTTCCCTTATGTATCCACTACACTGTGTAAGTCAATCTCTAAAATCATTAGTCCAATCCTTGAATATTGAATGTTACTCCAAGGTCCTTGCACGAAAGGCTTGACCTCACAGTGGTGCTGCTGGGAGACAGCAGAGCCTTTAGGAAGAAGGGCTTGTAGGAAGCCCTCAGGTCATTGGAGGGCTAGCCTTAGCAGGGTTCAGCCCTTTCCTCATCATCTCACTCCCAAGCTTGTGGCATAGGTGACTTTGCTCTTTTATATGCTATCACTGCCATGCCACAGATCCAAAACAATGGGACCAGAGACTGGAGCCTCCAAACCTCTGAGCCAAAAGAAACCTTTTATCTTTATAAAGTAACTACCTCAGGTATTTTGTTGCAGACAGAAAGCTGACTAATACAAGCATATATGAGAATATCAACTAATGCAAACATTAAATGTCACTGATACTTGATCTATAAAACATTGTTTAATATATAATACTTATAGAAAAATGTACAAAATGTAAACTTACTTATGAATTGTAATAAAGCAAATATTCAAGTAACCACTCCCAGGTTAATAAATAGAATATTGACATCATACTAGATGATACCTTCATGTCCTTCATTTATTATTACCTTTCTCCTTCACATTTGTCATTGCTGTTTCAGTTTACTTTTAAATGTTTTGAAGTTTATGTGAATGGAAATATTTCCTTTCCTTTCTGACCTCTTCCATTAAAAACAATAAATTATCCATTATGTTATGCAAACTGTAGTTTGTTTTTATGATTTATATATAATATATATGTAAATATATACAAATTGTATTCATTCTACCATTGATGAAGTTAGGTTGATTTTAGTTTTGACTGTGAATGAATAAAGCTGCTACAAACATTATTGTACAGGTCTTTTGTTGTAAATGCATGCATCATTCTATGAAATGTAACTAAGGAGTACAAGTTTTGAGTCACTGAGTAGGTTTTTGATCAGCTAAATGTTAAACAGTATTCAAAGTGGCTGTATAAATTTATGCTCCTACCAGCACTGTATGAGCCATTTATTCCCACATATACTTGACAACACTTGGAATCATCAATCCTTGAAATATTTGGTTGTATCGCATGATTTTCATTTATATTCTGTTAATGAGTAATAGTGCTGAGTACTTTCTTATGTGTCTATCGGCTGTTTGTATATTCTTTCCTGTGAGGTGCTCAACACCAAAACTTGGTTTTAAGACTTAACTTGAATCATCAATAAAATAAGGGTACTAACTTCCAGATTTCAATCAGCAACTTACAAAAACAGTATTTTAAAGTAGTGTCAATTCTTGTCAGACCAAAAAGCTGCGGCTCTTGTTGCACAGGTCCTGCTTTACCTTGGTCTTAACCATCCAGTAGAAAAGTATGAAGATGAAATATAGGAAGTAAAGCCATGTTGTTATGTTGAGCTGTGGGGGACTCAGGTCAATAATTTCTGACATTGCCAGTTAAACAGAAGACCCAATGATATTATGGGCTTCTGTACTCTTTTAGAATATTTTGCTGAGTTTACACACCTATAATATTCAACAACGGAACTTAAAAAAAATTGGGGTATAACTATGAATGTCCATTTTGTATCTGTGTATTCAAAGTGGATGGGATAGATATATAGTTGCATTCTCTTAATGAATAGAATGATTTTTTCTAATGGTGTTTGTAAGTAGGATCACAAGTCTGCATCTTGTACAGCAATTAACCACTGAGAAGAATGTATGCAGTGTATTATTTGTTGAAACTATACTTTCGATTTGATTTGAAACTGTCTCATTGCTATATGTTGATCAATAAAACTTGGAAAAAAAATAAAGCAGTGTCAATTATATACACCTACTTTGAAAGAACAAAGTTGTACAGAAATGTCTTTGGTGCACAGAAATGAGCTTTAGGGTATAGTTTCAGACAGTAAAGGATTTTTTGGCCCATTTGTTTGATCATTCATTTACTCAAGAAATTCACTCAAAACATTTATTATATACCAATCTATTCTTGGCATGGTATTCAACAATGGGTTTAATTAAAAATGGAAATACTAGATTTGGGATTAAGCAGGAACTTTGCTGAAGGACAAGAACCAGCTATATCAGAGAAGTGATCCTATACTGTGTCATATATCTCTTTGTACCAGCACCCTAAACTCTGTTCAGGCCTGCGGCATGGAGGGGCCCACAGAAAAGCTAATCATCAGCCTGATATATAGTGACTGCCACATAAGGAGGTAAGCAGGACTGCATCTGACACAGGTGATTACTCAGGAGTCTTTTAGTAGTAACTTGCCAAATTTTGGCAGTAAGTAGACAAGGGCACTAGGCATGGCCTAGAAAGGATGTGGCAGACAAGGACTCAGATTCTACAGGGATAAGAATCTAGGTCATTCAACCAGAAAAAGCAAAGTCGTGCTTCGGTCATGAATGAATCAGCTTGCTATGTAGACTGTAGCTGCACCAAAGCCCTATTTTCTCTGCCCAAACCTGGTTATTTTCCTTCCCCTACAGATGTTGACCCTATGAAGTCTGTAATAATAAGCTTCTTTATTTCAGAGTTGGTGCCCTGAGAGATCCAACCTATAACAGTAGTCACCAGAAAACCATGCAGTCGTCACAGACACACCGTGTAGTGACACTATATGTGTTAGCATGTAATTACAATGAAGTGTCATTTGCAAAATATTTTATCTTTCACTATTTAAGCAAATTTGAATTACTGCTAACTTCTTTAAAAGATTTAAAATAAGAGACTATAAATGTAAAAATAAAAAATTACTAAGGTGGTGGCTCAGAAGAAAGTTAAAATAGCAAGCTTGTTGTTAGAAAAGTCTACTTGTAAGGTTAGCCCTTGGCCAATGCGAAAATTTAATAAAGAGTTTCCTATACTGACAAAATTTGATCTAAATAGTAAGAATGTCTTCCTGTGTCTACACTGTTTATATTGACAGAATGTTTCGTATTGAACTTGTTTACCTTCAAGGAGTTTGAAATTTGATAGGTGCTAAGTAGAGAATGTCTATGTGATCCACTCCTGATTTTAAAAAAAATCTTGGGTACTAAGAACCTGACAAGATTTCTGAGTGGATAAAACTTTATATGCTGTCATCTGTTGTGATAATTCATATCTGAAAGAATTAAAAGGTTCTACAGAATCTTGAACCTAGTTTCCTTAAATTCTATCCTCTGAGCTTTTTCACTTGCTAATTTTAGTTTGTATCCTTTTCTGTGATAAATTTTAGCTATCAGTACAAATAAATGCTGAGTCCTATAAGTCTTTCTGGTGAATTAGTGAATATGAAAGAGGTCATGGGGTACTCTGAACATAGCAACATAAAATATTTTATATAGAAATCCTTTGACTGAAATTACTTTAGTAATTTAAACTATATCATCTATCCAGAGATGAAAGTGCAAAAGGATAGTGAATTAGAATATAAATCATCTATGACTAGACAAATTTGTGCAAAATGATGTATCTTTAATTATAGTTAGTCTGTCCTATACTAACAATTAAGCAAAGAAATACGCTACACTGCATATCTCTTGAGGACTTCTTGCCTTGACTTGTACTTAAAGAAAGGATTTTTACTTATAACTAACTTACGTATCAATTTAATGCTTAGTATTAAGTTATATATGAATATTTACCCTTAGATAGAATAAGGTTATATAAAATAAAGAATAATTGAATAATTCTTCTCTACTTAATACAGAATCAGGAAAGACTGGGCAGATATAACTTCATAAACTTCAGTTCTTATCATAAATTGGTTCTATTTGTAAAGAAACTATACTGTCATCTACACTTATTTCAGTGTCTACTGCAATGAATATACATTGCATTACTTCACTAAAAAGGTTGAGAATGACATTTTAATTGTAATATAATGTTGTCAAAAGTGTAGTTTTAATGACTAATGCTCTGGTTTAACTTGAAAAAATAGTATCTTTACCATGTATGAGGATTGAAAATGTTTCTAGGATCTAAAAAAGTATATAGTGACCAGAGACCACAATCAAACTTCTTTATGTTCTCTTATGATCTACGTTGCTATAAAGTCACCTGCCAAAAAATAAGACACCTGTTTTGTCAGTAGCATTTACAAGCAAATAATTAAAAAGACATAGCTAAACTTACGTTTTTACTAGATTCTCTCTCATTCTAGGTAGTTGTTCCATCTGTTGCCTTTTAGAAATTTGATGTGAGCCAGAGCCCTGAAATTTAAAAAACAAATTGGGTGTTTATCCTTTTATTTCATGATTGATTTCAGCATTATTGAATTATTGCTGAAATTGCTAATATTGACTATTCTCAATATTATTGAGAATTAACTCTTTAACTCATTGACACTCAACTCTTTCACAACCAGAACTTTTAGCAGTATGTGCAAGAAGTGTTGAAGAATAGTTGGAAATTCTGGCCTTTGCCAGAAACATCAAGCTTCCAAAGTATGGAAATCACTACACATCAGCCCCAAAGTCCATGTGTTTTTAAAAAAACAATGGAGGAAACTAGGAAACTTGTATTGTCCCCGTGGTCCAGATCATTAGAAGACTTTGTAATATACATTACAAGTAAAACATGCACCTTGCCATTAGGGTAGATAAGATTATTGTTTCATCTAAGCAGTACCAGTAGATGTAGTAAAGCAGGAAAAATATATATGTGAAAATCAATATATATACATAATTTCATTTTTGTCTATTTTGAAATTCTTCTGAGATATTAAAGCAAAGACTTCTGGTGGATGGTATAAATATAATTTATAATCCAGAAATTGAGTTTAGTCACCTTAAACGTGGAATTGGAAGCCTCAACTGAATAAGATTATTCATTAAGGGCACAAAAGAAGTAAGAGAATAGATGACACAAAAACGGGAAAACAACTTTTAAGGATAACCCTTCAAAAATAGGACTGCCATTTAAACAACAGGAACTCCCCCCGACACTTATTGTTGTGGAAGTCAAGTGCATATGTGGAAGGAGAGAGGTATTCAAAGAGGTGATCCTGATCAACAGGGTAAAATGCCTCAGAAATGGATTCATAGGGTGGAGCCACCATATGCAGCTATTAAAAACTAAAAAGGTAAAAGCATATTATATACATGTTTAGAAATTTCACAATGAAATCTATTAATTTATACAATTAATAAGCACTAATAGTTATTTATAGCGTGGAGGGATTATGTTGGAGCACAATGGTAGGGTCAGAAACAGGATGAAAGAAGTCAAAGAGTGAAAGGGAAAGCTAGTATATGCCCACTTTTTCACGAAGTTTGACTGAGTAAAAGAAATCTTCATTGGCAGTAGTTTTATGAGTATGGCTGATCTCACTATGTAGCCCACGCTGGCCTGGAACTCAGGGCCTCAGCCTCCTGTTTCAGCCCACTGAGTGCTGGGATTGTCATCATGAGCAACCACATCTGGCTGGACAGCTTTTTCTTTATGACAAGAGGATGAACAGCTGGGCATGCTGGTACAGGACTGTCATCCCAGCACTCTGGAAGACTTAATCAGGAGAACCATAAATGCAAGCCTAACTTGAATAATTTAGAGACTTATCAAGATCCAATCTCAAAAAAGAATAAAAGGAAGAGGGTACTGGATATGTAAATACAAAGACCCTGGGCTCAATTCCAAATAGTGCAAAAAAGAAAACAAAAAGCAAAATAAGAATAGTACATAAAGATAGGGATTTACTAGGGCTGCCAAAATAACTCAGTGGACTAAGCACCTGCTGAGGCAAGCGCAGGGACCGGGGTTCGATCCCCAGCACCACATGTTGCACCAGCCCTGCCCCTGGGCACACTAAGCCCACCAAGCCCAGGCCTGATGGCATACGTCTATAATCCCAGCAGTGGAGAGGGTGAAAACAGGAGAATAAATATGAGTCCCAGTTGCTTAATGAGACCCTGTACCAAATACATTTAAAAAAAGATATGGATATATTTGAAGGAAAAAAGGAGAAACAATTAGATTTTTACATCTGATAGAGCTTTTTAAGGATATATTATATCATTACTAAGTAACAGATTTTGGTCATTTAGAGTAAAAACTGGAATTCACTCATTTTTTCATTCATTCAGTAAATGTTATTAAGCATGTGCTACCATTATATTGAATAAAGGAAGACAAATACAACTCATGGTTCTGTTTGGGGAAACAGTGAAAAAAATAGGACACTATAATGAGGGTCTTGATAAAGATTTGTACAATGCTTTATGAATATACAGCAGATGTAATTAATTCAGGCTCTGCATAGAAGAGCAACCATTTAAGAACTAAGGAAGGGATATTATAGGTAGGAGAAACACCAAGGGCCTCAGTCTCAGGCATGAACTAGCATGATATAAGCATGAATTAGCATAACATTACATATGGCTGTAATAGATGTTACCAGGGATAAAACTGTAGAAACAGGAACAGCCAGGTCAGAAAGGACCTAGTAGACCATGCTAAGGAGTATTACTGTCATCCTCTGGGCATGAATACTAAAGATTTTTAATCCACACCATAGTATGTGTATTAAGCACTGATAACTCAGGCTTCAGAGAAAAAATATGAGTGTGATGGAGACAAACCTTTGATAGCCCTGCTATTGAAATTGTATCCCAACTGCTAGATTTAAACATGGGCAATTCCATGCTAAGATGAACAATAACGGAAAAGAATTATCCAAAGGCAACAGAAATGCCTCGACAGCCTGGCACCTGGCTCATGAGAAATGGCTAAATTGGGGTTTTGACAGTTTAGATCAGAAACAAAACAAAATAAAAAACTATAGGAAATTGATAGTTGTTTTTATTTAAATCTTTGAAAATTTATTATACAAACAGAGGAGTGTAAGGGGCTGGGGAGATAGCTCAGTAGAATAAGTGCTTGCCTGGCAAGCGCAAGGGCCTGAGTTCAATCCCTGCTTCCACAAAAAAAAAAAAAAAAATCAGAAACAGAGTGTAGATTTGTTTTGTGTTCTTTAGAGAATAAAACTAAAACCAATGGATGTTAACGATGTTCAAGAAAGGAGAACAAGGAGTACTGTGTGATATGTAGCAATCTGGCAATTAGAACTACCTGACAATGAGACAGAACTATCTCAGGTCTCCTTTCTATAAATCAGAAGTATTCTATCCAATTAGTTCTCAAGTTAATTGCTAAAATTCTGTACGACTTATATACTATTTTAAAACTATTTCTTGGCATCTGTAACTTGTAAGTGGTGTTTGCAAGTAAAAACCAGTGTCTCTGAGTTCTATGTACTCAAACTTCCCAACCAGCTATTTTAATTCCACTGAAACAAACGAGTTGTCATTAATATTTTGCTACAGTGAAATATAATTTTAGTGACATTTAAAAAAATAAAATTCTGTACTCCAGTAACAGTGTCTACATCTTAAACTGTGAGTATTTCAACAGCTCTTAGTCTTCACAGCGGACTTTTCAGCAGTGCAATATGTCTGTGAATTCTTAAAAAGCAGATTCTGTACTCTATACACATTGTGTAAATTAGAAGAAGCCATAGATGGAAAAACTCAGTTTTAATCAAAACAGAGCATCAAGACTGATACAAAATCACAGGTAGCAGCAGAAGTATAAACAGAAGATTCAGCAAATAGTTTTAGTTATCTACCAGAGAATAAATTATTGATGTAGTCAGCATAGAAAAAACTAAAAATCTCTCATTAACCTTTCTAGTCACTGTAGTATCTGCATGGCCAGAACTGCCTTTGACTATAGAGATTAACAGTTCACTCTAGAGTGAAAAATCCTCATTAACATTTATACAGAGGATAGTATTAACATCTTCCTGGGAATCTGTTAAAACCAGCTTTGATTGCATAGCCAGTGATCCTGTATAGCCAGAGTAGGATTATCTCACCTAAATGAATTTTTCAGATAAATGAAGGTAAATGAATGTGTCAAGAGCAAAAGAACTCTACTTTGACCTTATAAATATCCTTCAGTAGAGTTTTACATATAGATCACTATTTTCTTTTTTCTTTTTGGTACTGGGAATTGAACTCAGGACCTTGCACTTGCCAAGCAGGTACTGTGCCTTTGAACTATAACCCTGGCCCCATTCACTTTTTTCTTAATGACTTTAGCTTTATATTATCTACATTAATTTCTATATTGTGTTCAATTTGGTAAATCGTTTTAAACACTGACTATTTGCTTTTCTTTACACTAAGTGTTGGAAGAATCTGGCCTCCTGACTGACTTCAGGGGGGAACAAACAGCTAAGTAAAACAAATGGATTTCTCAGCCAACACCAGAAGGTAAGCAGAAATTCTGATGCCATGACATAGAGAGAGAAGCTAGTGAACTCAGAAAACAAAAACAGGAAGACAGCCTTCACCATTCAGAACCTATTGTGCCAGCCATTTCACTTAGGTATTATATCTAAACACACACAGAATCCTGACATCAATATTGATTTCAGATACTGATTCTTCCTTTATACATAGATGAGGAAAGAAATTAAGGCCCGCAGAAGTCATAGAACAATACATTAAGAGCTGAGATTCAAATCTAAATTTGTGATGGCCCCACAATTTGCAGTGTTTTCATCATGTCAAGACCTCATAGAGGAGGTGGTGTCTGCACTAGATCTTGAGGGGAGTGAACCTGGCACATATGAGAAACATATTCTAAGCAGAGTGTGGGGTCAGAAAGCATAAGGGCACCTATGCTACAGGAGAAAGCAGTGCTTCCAGTCCAGCATCAAGGACCAGTTCATTTGAATTTATTGTCCATTTTATGGATAAGAGAGAGTAACGGGGCCAGGGAGATGGCTCAGTGGAATAAGCACTTCCCTGGGAAGCACAATGGTCTGAGTTCAATCCCCGGTTCCGCCAAAAAAAAAAAAAAAAAAAAAAAGAGTATCAGGATTCATCCTATCCTGACTCAATTTCCTACTTAAATTTGGTCAATACTCTAAGTTCAAGTTTGCTTTATTCACTGTAGCCCTTTCATTTTCAATTTTTTCTACATATCACATTATTGGCTTCAATATCCAAACTAATTCATCCTCTGAACTTTTCTTTTTAGCAATTCCTTTATCAGCGATGGCAAACCTATAGCTTGCAGTCCCAGGGAGCTTGTTTTATCATTGAAAGTTCTAAAAGGTTCACCATCAAGGCTCTAGGTACTCTAGGTCAGTGATTGGTAGATTACCCTTTATGTCAAGCCCTCTCCCTTCAAGGTCCTCCATCTCCTTTTCCAACTAACCACTTTGAGAAATGCCAATCCTCATTTTTGGCTCCCTTGACTATGTTGAAGTTCTTCGAGATAAACCCTAGACTGTCTTCTACTTTCCATATTATTTTCCTTGATGCTATGCATTCATTCATATTCAAATAATTCATATTCAAATAATTTCTAAATTTCTATCTCTAGTTTTTACTATTTTCCCACGAGTCATATATCCAACTGCTCTTTTAATACTCCTGTTTAGAGACTACATACTGAAAACTGAACTCATATTCTAATCGTATAGCATATACCAAAATAAAGTTAACATAGATTATGTACTTAAACAACATATATTAGCCCTATAGGTACTAAAATATGTGGTGAACGTTATGAAATATTGAGATGAAGATGGTCTCTTTAACTATGACATCAGAAACTAAAAGATAGCTCTGGCAACATAAAAAAAAAACTTCTATACTGACATAAATAGAATGGAAAGGCAAATGAAAATTGAAAAATGCATCTACATAACTTACTGATTACTTTTGTATCTTGTATTAATTACATACTACCAGTTGCAAATCTGTGTCTAGATCTATTTTTCTTTTATGTATTTTAGTACAGGGTCCATAGGGTCTCACTACATAGATTGGACTATAGTGATCCTCTTGTTTTCAGCCTCCCAAGCACTAGGATTACAGGCATATGCCACCATGTCAGTCTCAGTCACCATCTCAGTGTGTCCCAGGGCACGGAGCCAGCACAGAAAGCCTGGGATTGAACCCTGGGTCACTGCACTCCACCTAAGCAGGCACTTTTGTCTGCTAAGCTATCTGGCTGGTCCTTCTACTTTAGATCTTACCATGCATAATTATGAAGTCAAGGGCCTGGAACTTCCTGATAGCAAAGGAATAGAGGCATGCCTATTTGAATTCTAATGATTATAGATGAAGGATAAGTAAAGAAGAAAATAAGCAATCTCTTAAAGAGACTGTTTTACCTTTCTTTAAGTTTTACAAAATTTTATAAACAGTATGTGTTTGCTGTATAAAGTGATTATGCATCATGGGAAACTGGTACATGTACAAACTATGTTTTATTTCCTCATAAAAGTTAAATATTTTCCTTTTGACTCCTTAATATTTAGGAACTTAATATCTTTTCTTCCAAAATTCCAACATGTTTCTCTACCAAACAAACAAGCAAGCCTAGAAAAATGAAAAATATAATTTATAGTCAAAGAAAATCTCTAGGATTTGGAAATAAAACAAAAAAGTTACCTGAGACATTTCAGCTAGGTATGTACGCCGTTCACTGCTGGTCCTCTGATAAGCCTACATAAAAGATAAAAAGTAAATAATCCAATATAAAATAAGATTTGCAGTATCTGCAGGACTACTATTAAGTTGAAATTTACTGTCCTGTTTTTTCTTAAATACTATAAGAAAAGGATATGTAGCACTGCAGATCACAATGGAAATGATGGCACATTCCAAGGAATTGTTTAGTATAGAAAAGAAACAAACCTTTGATTCTTGTTCCAGTCTGAGTGCATAGTCTTTCACTTGATTTTCAAGACTCCTTTTTTCTCTTTCTAGTTGTTTAAGTAATATATTTAAGGATTCCTGAAAGTATAAAGAGCAAATTTTTATACGTGCTCATGTTCTAAGCAACAATAATAAATGGCCACCAAATGCACTAGTGGATTTCAATGTAATATTCTATTATTCCATAATTATGTAATATTTACTTTCTAAATAATAATAATAAAATATTCATTGAACTCTAATCCTATGCCATGTATTATACTAATCTTTCCATAGGTTATTTCATGCAAACCTTATTATAACTCTTATAATGGCTAATGTTTATTTCCACTTTTTCAACTTTCTCTTGAGAAAATTGTAACTTGCAAAAGTTATGTAGCTGATCAAAAGGATTATAGCTAATCAACTGTAGAGCTAGAATTAGATTCCAGGTGAGACTATAGATTCAATACATACTACCAATAATTAGTATGAACAATTACTAGCTTGTATTCATTCTATTGCTATGATTTTAACAAAAGAGGTACATGTACCAACACTTAAAGACTGTCCTAGTGCTAACTGTAAACTAGGTCCACTTTTACATGCTCAAGAAAAACCACTTTAAAGAACAGGCATCCATATAGAAAGAGAAGTTTATGGCTCCTCTTTCATAAAAAGAGATTTCAGTAATTATTTTACTCATATTAATAACACTGCACATACACATTAAATATACATTATTGGAGAAATACACAATAAAATTTTATAATTCATATCTACCAACCTGAGTTACAGTAGTTTCTTAGTAATTTGTGAAATAAATGTTAAGGAAACCCTTTATTTAAAAACTTCAGGTACTGATTATGAAGAAGGTTTTTGGAACTAAAATCTCAAGTTTCTAAAACTGCCCTAGTCCATAATATCCTCACAGTTCCCCCTGGTTATCAACCATATTCTATGTTACACCACTTTCTCTCTCTCTCTCCTTTGGCTTAATAAATAATCTCATTTTCCAGTTCTCTTCCTTTCTCTTCTCTCCCCTTCTGCCCCCACCAGATCCTTTCTGTCCCCTCCTTCCCCTCCTCTGTTCTCTTCTTCTTTCTTCCCCTTCCTCTTCCACTCCTCTTTCTGCTCCTATTCTTGCTGCCCTTCCTCCTTTTTATTCCCCTACCCACAAAAGCCTCTCTCACAAACTCCAAATATTTATTTTTTGGATGCGACTTTTCCTAAGAGCATCTCATCCTATATATCTTATCTCATAGAGCAATTAGACGTGAAAGTTTTCTGGGTACCTCACATAGAAGCATGAAAAACCTTTCAAAAATCTTACCAACCTGCCTGGCCACTATGTCACAGGTGCAGAAATTTGTACACATCTGATGATTGGGTCTGAAAGGATTGGGTTTTTTCTTTATCCTATCTTGCAAGATGGCAGGTGAAAAAACTGAGAAGCCAGACACTAAAGAGAAGAATCTCAAAGTCAAGAAGGCTTCTGCCAGTGGTACAGGTAAAAAGGGTAAGGTGAAGAAGGCAAAAAAAGTCCAAGAAGGGGCAGCCCCACTGCAGCCAAAAGCCTGTCCTGGCTAGCGGAATTGGTAGATACTCCCAATCTGCTATTATTCCAAAAAGGCTTTGTACAACAGGAAGTACACAACTGCTAAATCAAAGGTTGAGAAGAAAAAAAAGGAGAAAGTTCTTGCTATGATCACAAACCTGGTCAGTGGGGATATGAATGGAGGTACCTGGGTGGTAGAACTTCAAAAAATGCCCAGATACTACCCTAGGAAATATGTGCCCTGAAAGCTTTTGAGCCATGGCAAGAAACCCTTCTGTCAGCATGTGAGGAAACTTCGAGTCAGCATCACTCCCGGCACCATCTTGATCATCCTCACCGGGCATCACAGAGGCAAGAGAGTGGTCTTCCTGAAGCAGCTGGCCAGTGGCTTGCTACTTGTGACAGGGCCTCTTAGCTTTAATCGTGTTCCTCTACGAAGAACAAACCACAGAAATTTGTCATTGCCACCTCTACAAAAATCAGTATCAGCAAAGTGAAAAATCCCCAAACACCTCACTGATGCTTATGTCAAGAAGCAGCAGCTGCAGAAGCCCAAGACACCAGGAGGGCAAGATCTTTGACACCAAGATAGAGAGATACCAGATTTCAGAGCAGTGCAAGGTGGATCAGAAAGCGGTGGACTCACAAATTTTAGCAAAAATCAAAGCTGTTCCTCAGCTTTGGGGCTACCTGCAATCTGTTTTTGCTCTGACAAATGAAATTTATCCTCATAAATTAGTATTCTAAATTTCTTACCAAGAGCCTAATTAAATAACTGATACATTTTAAAAAGTACATATAAAAATTTAAAAATACATAAAATAAAAGGACTGGGGAAGAAGAATGTAGATGGTCCTACAGAAGTAGAACAAAGGATAAGAACTCTTGTGCATTGTGTGTTACATAACAAAAACCAACCTTAACATCTCATTTCAGGAAGGACTGACTGAACTGGTTGAAGTCAAAGACTGAAAGCCTATGTAATGTAATTGGTGGCTTACAAAATATGACTTCAATACATGATGGTTGTGCACAAGGCTGAAGCTTTTCATTTTAAATTTTCAAAAATATTGAATTTATTATTTATTTATTTATTTATTTATTTATTTATTTGGTACAGGGTCTTGCTACAGAGCTCAGTCTCACAGTGATTCTCCGGTCTCAGCCTCCTCAGTGCTGGGATTACAAACCTATGCCACCACACCTGGTTTTGGTGGTCAACACAGTGCACCTGGAGTTCTGGGACCAGCACAGTATGTGTTACCACGTCCTTGAGCTTGCCAGGCAGGCACTTAGACAGCTGAGATATCTCTCTAGTCCCTTATGGTTTTTAAATTTTTTAAAAAATATTTATTTATTTATTTATTTATTTATTTATTTATTTATTTATTTATTTGGTACAGGATCCCCCTACAGAGCTAAGGGTGAAAGCTTTGTAACAAAGGGAGTCCACACTACCACTTGAACTTGTTATGCTAAATTGTGTAGAAACCTAGATTTCCCATAGGTACGGTTGTCTCCAGAATCTGTCACACAGTCACAGAACTGAACATTGGATCTTGCTATTGGAACTTCCTGTGGTGCCTTTGTAGCTTCAGGTAAATTCATCAGCTGGTTTTGATGCAACAGACCAGGTGCTAGTTTGCTCTAAGCCTTATAAGTCTAGATTGTTTAATCATCCACATTTTAGTTTTCTCTTTTACAGTCTGGTAAAACAATTAGCAGGTGCTCCTGCTAGACTTCGAGATGTGAATATCTTTTGCAGAATGTCCATATGGAGAAATAACTTTCCACTCCTCTGGTATTGCCCAACTCAGATCTACTACCTAGAAATGACTTAATATGAAATTTGAGACTCCTTTGCCCAGTCTATTTTCTATGCTCTAACAGAATAGTAATTCATAAAGGTAAATTAGTTGAACTCGTGGTTCTGGAGACTACAAGTTTAAGATTAAGCAGCTGCACCAGTAAAGGCCTCATGCTGACATCACAACAAAGCAGAACAGCAGAAGGGCAAGTTGGGGGATACAGAAGAGGTAACTTATTGTCTACTTTGTTCTTGTAAAAAAGGTATTGATCTAGTTCAACTACATCCTCACACCTTAAAGACCACACTTTCCAACCCTGCCATGGAATTAAAATTTCAACATGAGTTTCAGAGGGAACAAACCATATGCAAGTCATAGTATTTGCCAACACTGCAGCACAGGTAAATAGTGTCCAGGTTACAAAATATAAGGCTTTTAGAAAGGCATATGTTATTATCCTTAGACAAAAAGAGAGATCCAAATAATCATGTAGACTTATTTAAGAGGATATAAAAAAGTGGAAAGATATCCCTTGCTCATGGATAGAAAGAACCAATATAGTGAAAATGACTATACTCCCAAAACCGTTATACAGATCTAAAGCAATCCCAATCAAAATTCCATTAGTATACCTCATAGAATTAGAAAAAACACTCCTAAAATTCATCTGGAACTAGAAGAGACCTAGAACAGCAAAAGCAATTCTGAGCAACAAAGCCAAGTCAGGGGGTATTACAATCTCTAACTTCAAATTGTACTACAAAGCTATTGTGGTAAAATAAGCATGGTACTGACATTAAAAACTGCTACAAAGAACCAACAAATGGAATTTCACCTTGCAAAAAGCTTTTGCACGACAAAAGAAATCACCAACAGAAAGAAAAGACAATCTAAGCAATAGGAAAAAATCATAGCCAGTTGTCCCTCAAAGGACTTATATCTGTAACATAAAGAACTGAAAAAAATCATGACCCCAAAGCTCAAAGACTCAATCCAAAAATGGGCATTTGAAATGAATACACACTTCTCAAATGAATACAAGTGGCAAAGAAATATATGAAAAATGTTCAACACCATTGGTCATCCTATGTGTCTTACAAAGCTATTAGAATTGTACCACCGTGACTATGTCAGTATCCAATGAACACATTCACCTCCTTCTGGGTATGAACAGGATATATATATATATATATATATATATATATATATAGTCTTTTATGTCTTTATGTATTTATTTGGTACAAGGTCTTGCTACACAGCTCAGACTCATAGTAATCCTCCTGTCTCAGACTCCCCAGCACTGGGAGTCCCCCCAGGGTCCTAGCATGTGGTACTGGGGATCAAACCCGGGTCCTTGTGCTTGCCAGGCAGGCGCTTAGACCACTGAGCTATCTGCCTAGCCCCAGGACATAATACATTGATTTACTGCGAGACCTGGTCTGTTACTACCCATTGTTCAGGTAGTTTTAGATTGTTAAAGTGTGCCATAAAGATTAGCTCCACTATAGTACCCAAATGAGTAAAAGTGCTTCTAGCCTTGAATTACTGATATTCCTTCAAAAATACTCAAATTGTGAAAACCTGAAGATTCTCTGACCCAAATAAAAGAAAAAAAGATAGCTAGATAGGGAGGGTTAATACATACCACTCAGCCTAATACACTACTTTTCCTCCTACCTAGGAAGTACACTATGGGCTCTGCAGTCTGCATGAACCTCACCAGAGGCCCATAG